GCCCATTACACACTGTAATCCTGGAAGCTGACAGCCCTTGCAGGCTGGGGTTAGGACAGCAGATGCTCCTTGGGGTCACCCCCTTTCCCGTAGGGAAGGGCAGGATCACTCCCAGCGTACCTGCGCGCCGGCAGGCAGGGAACCCTGCCTAGAGGGATCCCATTGCTTATTCGGTAGGTACACACCCCACACCTCCCCTTTCCAGTATCCGCTTAGTGGCCTGGTTTCTTCTCAAAGCTTTTTATATTTCACATTCCTAAGATTTAATTATGTTATCAGAACAACAGGCATCAGGATTTGGAGTGCCAGAATTCACATTAGCAATTGCTATCAACAAAGAAAATGGGCACAGCATGCCCATGCCAGAGTAGATGTGGGCTGCTCTCCTCAATCTACTCACGGTTATTTATAGCCTGTTTGCAAGCCATCCACCTCCCAGGTTTAGCTTCAAGCTCGCTTCTTCCCGAGCACCCTCTCCCTCAAAGAAAAGCCTTTTGCCTCCCCCTTCCCTAGCACAGCACCCAGATTTGGACATGTTTAGTTCATTTTTTTTGGGGCAGGGGGGACAAAACACCTTTAAATCTTCTTCCATACATCCACAACAGTAGAAAAGAACGAAAAAAGAGTGCCACAAATAGGCAGCTGCAGGGACACCCACCCTGCAATGGCAGAAATTTAAAAAAAAAAAAAATATATATATATATTTATAGTTTCTAACACTTCACCACATTGGAGCAGGACCGCTGCGCATCCCCAGCAGCTTTCCGCCCTCCCTGCAGATAGGGATGGAGGCACAAGCTCAACGAGGCAGGACGCATGCTTGAACACAAGAAATACCTACCTATTTTGAGATGATTGCAAAGAAGCGGCTACGCGATAGCAGGAGGGAAGAGATAGCTGTGCCTCCACACCAGCATTAACTGTAATTTGCCCATTCCTCAACCAGCACGATTTCAAGACAGTCTGATTCTGCGAGGATCCTTCGCCTCCAAATAATTAAGAAATACAAGATGCAGTGCGCGGAGTACAGGTGCAAACCTACCCACCAGCTTGTTTTCCTCCCCTGAGCAGCAGCTGGCACGGGCAGCTCACATCTTCTTCCTCCTAATCCCAGCTCCTGCTAAATCAACCCAAGTTTTAAGGCAGCCGCTAGCAGGAGTTGGGTCAGACCTCAGCTCTCCCAAGCCTGAGACGGTTTCGGTGCTTAGGAGAACCCCTTCACGCAAGTTAGCCGACATGGCTTTGGTCAGCCCAACGGTGTTGGGATGCCAGCGGGCACCGGCGCCTTTGCCGGGCTGTCCTCGCACGCAGCATCCCTTCTGCGATCACAGGCTTGTCACCCGGTCCCCAGCACCCGCCTACGGCTGTAAAGCAGCATCGCTCAGGGCAGGGCTGGTCCAAAGCTCCCTCAGGGCATCGGAGGGAGAGCTGAGCCCCTTCAAAGCTCCCCGATTCTCTGGTTAAAATGCAGAAGTGGTGCTGGTTTTAGTCCTGCCCAGTGACTAAGGAAACACTTGGTCAGGCTCTGACCGAGATACAGCAGCTCCTCACATGCCTAAAATTTCACGTGGCCCTGAAAAAGACAGACATTATTACAGGATACAATAATAATTTAAAAAAGCAGCACAACCACCTGTAAAATATTAATAATAATAACAACTACAGATAATAATAAAATAAATATTAATAAATAATAATTAAAAACCCAAACACCACACCCCTTCTGCTAAAGGGGGGAGGAGGAGGAGGAGGCTCAAGCTTACAACTCTAGCACGTTTTATTTTGTGTAAATTTATAAAGACAACAATCCTAGTCACGATTGTCACATTGTACAGCACATACCAATACAGTTGCAAACAGAACTCCACGCAAAACTAAGCGCTAACAGTAGCGTGAATCACTCTTCCTGCGATTGTCGTATCTAGACTAACAGTATTACACTAACACTGAAGAAAAAATAGTTCACTATAAAACAGTGATAGAACGTTTTTATAAAATATATTCCATTCCAATAGCTTTTCTACATACTGTATACTATAAAACTCTCCCACAAAAATTAGTGTCTTTAAATATACATATTTAATCTGAACTGCACCAAGATTAAAAACAATTAAAAATATCAATGATTTTTTTTTTTTTACATTAACTTCACAGTATTTGTTTGTAGTAGAAGACAAATCCAGTGTTTAAAATGCAGAGCAGGAGTGGCCCCTACAGAGACAGCAACCGCCCCATAGTGAAATAGTTTATGAAGAGACAAGCGTAAGTGTGCAATGTTTTTAGTACTTCTCTGTAGAGCCATGAACCATTTTGAAAACATGCTCTGAGCTATTGCAACTTAAAAATAAGAGAGACACAGAGAGATAGCCAAAAAAAGTCACCTTAAGAACAAAAATAAGTGCAAACATTTTTTTACTTTAGAAATTCAAGCTATGAGGAGTGGGAACACAAATACCAGACTGAGAACAGTGTGTTCATGATGTAGTAAAGAATGAGAAAGTCTTTTTTTTTCTTTTTCTTTTTTTTTTTAGAAAAAAAAAAAAACTTTTGCCCCATATTCACTGCAGTACAGAGCATGCTCATAGCATCAGTTTAATGAATTATTTCTATACTAAGATCAGACACAAACTTGTTTCAACTTTTCCCTGCTCCATACGCTAATGATGTTCTTATGGCACATCCTATTTTATGATCTTCTAAAAAAAAAAAAAAAAAAAAAAAAAAAAGAAACAGTAATTGAGAACTGAAATGCAAAAAAAAGTGTCACAAGAATGCAAAATTAAGATTACCAGCTTCAGTAATGCTGACTCTACATTAAACGCTTTACATGTTGTTCAACATGCAAAACCCATTGTTATAAAATTTAAAGTGAAGTGTAAATTAACTAGTTTTGAAATAGATTAACAGTAATAATTCCACTTCAAAAAAAAAATCTAATAAATACTATATCAAGTATCTTCAGGAGAAAAAAATAACTTAATTTTAGTAGAAAGAAAAATAACTTAATTTTAGTAGATTTCGTTCAGTGCTATTTCCAATCACAGCAAAAAGGAAAAAAAAATAAGGAAGAACAAACTGATTAAGTAGAATAAGACCACAGTACCAAAGCCACTTATGTTCAAGATACAGTACTCTCCCACGACTTTCATATGTAACAGGTTCAGCAAAAATATTTTACAGTCGAGAAATTAGACTGAAAACAAAAAAAACCCAAACTATAAATAGAAGCAAAATTTCACATTACATGTACATTCATAGTTTAAGAGATGAATAATAAGAGGAGGCTGTAACAAGTAGATCCTGACTTTCTTTAAAAGAGGAAGTACTTATTTAAAAAAAAAAAAAAATCAATCCCATATTATTTATGTAGGTAGTGCTCAGTTTTTGGACCAGAGCGGGAAAGCATTGGGAAATTTTTTCTTCATAAGATGAAATACAGTATTTTAAGCACAAACTTTTGAAAATAATCTAACTCAGTGCTTCAAATTCATTTTAAAATAAACACTTAAACTTCACAAAACACCTCCAGGAGTGTCAAGAAAGCTGGTGAAGCAACGCTAACGCAGCAGAAGGACATTCAAAACCCTCAGATATTATTACTATATTTCAGTCCCGTGTACACGTACCTTGAATGGGTACTTTGACTGGAAGGGAATAATCTGATATTTACCAACATGCACAGACCAAAGGATGCTCTATTAGGCAAGTAATTGAGTTATTTGGAGTAAAACTGGTTATAGTTACAGGCAGCCTCAGTTTACAAACAAACTAAAACAACCACCTAAAAATACCCCAAAACCTCTCCTGAAAAGGTGGGACTTGGGGGAA